TCCCTTTCCCCCATAGGCTTATAAACACACACACACACACACACACACACACACACACACACACAAATGCATTTTGTCTGGCGTCAGAAGTTCCCATAATCAGGCACAGTCTCCACACTGTTTAAGAGCCCAAAGTATCTTCTGAGACTCATTTAATCTAACTGTAAACCCCTGTGAAATCAAAATCAAAAGGCAGCCCACATACCATGGTGCAGGGTATACATTACCATTCCAGAAAGGAGGAAAGAGAGCATGGTGAGGAAATACTGAAGCAAAGCAAGATCAAAAGATCAGCAGGGCAATCTCCAAACTATCTCCATGTTTGGTGTCAAGGGGCTCCTCAAACCTCCAACTCCTTTCAGTTGTCGCCTACAACAGACTCGGTTATTAGCCCGCCTTGGCAGGTACCCTGTTACATGCAGCACTGTAGGCGCCATTCTGTAACGAGCCGTTTCCCCCACACCGTGGTTCCACAGCCTCGTCAGCCCCCAAATAACACACAGAGATGCTGTATAATTACGAAACTGTTGGCCATTGGCTATGGTTTCTTATTGACTAGGTCTGACTTAGCCATTAACCCATTTCTATCAATCTAAGTGTTTCTACGTGCTCATATCTTACCAGAGAGAGGGTTCGGACCTCTTCTGTCCCATTTTACATCTTGACTCCTCTCTACTACATCTCCCAGAATTCTCCTTGCCTACTAGTCCCTCCTATCTTGCTTTCCTATTAGCCAACAGCGCTTAATTCACTAACCAATAAGAGGAACGTATTTACAGAATGACATCTCCCATCAGTACCCCGTGGTTCTGGCACCTCCAACATCTTGGGGTGTCCAAGGCAATCCACACGCTTCACCTTCACAGCTTCACCCAATGGCCCAAAGTGACGCATAAAAAAGTTCAGGGCCCCTAATAAAGGCCAGAAGAGGGAAACAGAGCCAAAGGGCTCCCTAGTATGGATGTCTTAAAGAGTACTGACCGAGGAGGGAGAAGAATATGGCCAAAGGTAGATGAACCAGAATGTGTAGACAAAGATTGCAATAGTGGAGTCTTCACATTTCAGAGATTCATGAAACGGCCTGCCCTGGTGTTTCATTTTTATTTCAAATGATAGGTGAAATGTGCTGTCAACACTCGGGACAACTGGAGACAACTCTGTTACCCTGATAAGGGAGTGGGCACTGGCAAACACTATCAAGTACTTAGCATTTTCCTTCTCGCTAAGTTCTGTTAGATTCCAAAGTTGGAACTCACAAATCTGAGCAGGATGGCTTTAGACCCTTGTTAGGGATGTCAACAAGACAGCCTTTTTCAAGGCACCTACACAGCCTTCTGCCATCACGAGAAAAGAAATATGCAAGAAGCACAATATCGTTCGAAATTCTCTCATAGTGTTACAAAACCAGGAAAAGAGAGCAGTTTGAATTAGCATCTTCAGTGCGGCGTGAAGACTCAAATAGCATTCTTTACCAACAATTACTAAATATAACATTTTTTAAAAAGCATTAATTTTTTTTCAGCTATTAAGATTCACAGTACAGATAGTTGAGAAAACCAACTGGAGAGATCTTGGTAGAGATGGGTGTTTGATTTTGATTCATAGTCTTATGCTAAATTTAACTCAAGAAAAATACCTGCTGTTTCCAAAGAAATTGTAGGCTGTATAGCTAACCTCAGCTGTCGACTTTGTGGAATCTGGTATCACCACTGGGTGTACCTATGGGGAATTATCTCAATTAGGGTAAGTTGGGAAGACTCAATCACTATGGATGGCACCATTCCCTGGGAAAGAACCCTGGGTACAGAAAGGAAGTGAGGAGCTGATCAGAAATGCTCCTTAACTACAGCTATCATGTGACTGGCCACCTCAGAGGCCTCCACTGTGACATTAGTGCCATGGGCTGTACCCTCCAAATGTGAGTCAAAATAAACTCCTTTAAGTTGCTTTTGTCAGGGTACTTCATCATAGTAACGGGAGACATAACAAAGACAGGCTGGCTCGGCCTTTTTTGTACTGACTGTGGTAAGCCAATGCAAGTGCTAGTCTTTGGGAAAAAAAAGACTCTTGCCCATAGGAGTCCTTATTGACAGCTATTAGCATCTTTCCCGAGTGTTATAAAATACTACAAGAAAACTGATTATAGGTTTAGCTGCAGCTCCACTTGAGAATGAAAAAGACCACTTACTTCTTTCACCTTAAAAGGACACACCTTTTTAAAACTGAGACTGAGCCAGGCATCGTTGGGAGGAGGAGATGGGGATCTCTTATGCCAGCTTGCTCTATAAAACGACTTCCAGGACAGCCAGGGCTACATAGGGCGACACTGTCTCAGAACTGGGTGGGTGAGATAGCTCAGCGGGTTCAGCACTGTGTAAGTCTAATGACCCGAGCTTGATCTCTGTAAACCATGTCCATTGCTGTGATGAAACACCATGACCAGGCTTATGGTGCTGGACGGATGAATCCACCATGATGGGGAGATAGGCATGGCTTCTGAAACAGAAACCGGAGGAGCTTACATCATAGACCATGAGCAAAAAGCACAGAGCAAGCCCTGAGAACAGTGTCTTTCCACAGCAGAGCCCCACCCCATGTGACAGCAAGGACCGCGTAGTCACACGCCTGAGCCGACAGGGTGGAGTGGCATTCTTATTTACACACCACACTGTGTAAATGTGGGAGAACAGACTCCACAGACACGGTATTTAAGCACACACACACACACCCCACTGGGACTTCAAAAGCTTTTAGGATACCAAAATATAAGAACAACACTGGATTCTGGTCACTTCTGAAAAAATTAATTGCAGTTTATAACATATTTTTACATTATATATATATGTATATATATGTTTTGTGTGTATATATGTATATATATATGCATGTATGTGTATATATATTCCCCTCAATTAAAGCTCAACAAATAAAACCCAAACCAAATCAAGGACAGTAAAGAAGAGAGGAGCAAGGGAGGATAAAGGATGTGGCGTCAATTTCCACTCCCAAGACAGCAGACTAGGTTCTCTCTTTGCCCGGATCATGCTGACACAGAGAAGTTATCCTGGACAACTTTGCCAGAGGTTAACCTCCCTGCAGTGGCAAATGTTGCCTTCTGTCTTCTTGTTTAACAATGTTTCTCTGCTTCCCATACCCTTCTGCACGTGGGAAGTGAAAGCTCGTGTACTTTCACTTTCAAATACTGTAATGTTGAGACTAGAGGAGCAACGTTCATCTTGCTAGGGAGCATGGCTACCACACAATACAGATCCCTAAAGCAGAGGACCATAACCATGAGAAAGCACCCCAAGACGGGGAAGGGGACAAAAAGCACAAATGGCTAGGCTGAGAGATGGCTCTCGGCAACTGAAATTTCCCAAGCAGTTTGGGTACAACTTTTAAGAATTAGTCTGGGGGTGTCTCAGTTCCATTGCTGTGCAGAGACACCATGACCACAGCAACTAACTCATGAAGAAAACATTTAATTAGGGTGGCTGGCTTATAGTTCCCGAGGTTCAGTCCATTATCATCATGACGGGGAGCATGCTGTCCTGGAGATAAGGCTGGTGCTGGAGCTCAGTGTTACAACTTGAAGGCAACAGGCTATCAGCTAGCACTGGGCTGTACCCTGAGCACTGGAAATCTCAAAGCCCGTGCCCAGTGACACATTTGCAACAAGGCCATACCCACTCCAACAAAGCCACACCTCCTAGTAGAGCCTATGAGATTATGGGGGCCAATTACCTTCAAACTACCACAGGTGGAGACAACGAGAGGCAGAGATCTAGAGGCTAGGGGTGTGGCTCAATTGGCAGTACTTGTGTAGCACTCAGAGCTCAGGGTTCAATACCCCATAACACCTAAGTATTATGGTAGAGGGACACATGTATCTGCAACTCCACTTCCAAAAGCACATTTCCAAAATGCTCTCACGGTGCACTCAAACCAGAGCAGGAGTGTGATGGTTTGGTTCGGTGTTTCTCCCCCAGCATGCTCAGGGAGTTGAACACTCAGCCCAGCTGGAAGCTATCTGGAGAGGTTACAGAACTTTTTGTAGAGGCTTGCTGGAAGAAGTATGTCACTGAGGGGGCTTTGAGAATGTATAGCTTCACCCCACTTCCAATCCTCCTTTTCTATGCGGTTAAGATACAACAGCCTGCTGGGCAGCGGCGGTACATACCTTTAATCCAAGCTCTGGGGAGGCAGAGACAGGCAGGTGGATCTCTGAGTTTGAGGTCAGCCTGGTCTACAGAGTGAGTTCCAGGGTAGCCAGAGAAACCCTGACTTTAAAAAAAAAAAAAACAAACAAACAAAAACAAAAAACAAAAAACGAGGAGACGGAGGGAGGGAAGGAAGGAGGGAGAAGCTTTCTGCTTCTACCACCACACCTCCTTTCCATATGAATATCCATCCTTCAGGAACTGCAAGACAAAATCTTAGGTTGCTTCTGGCCATGGTATATTATCATAGCAACAGAAGAGTAACACAATGAGAAACTTAAGTAGTCCACAATACATTTACATGCCTTTTTAAAAAAGAAAACAAAATTACACATACATACGTGGGTGCGTGTGTCTGCATGAGGAAGCCAGGTGTCACCAAGCTTCACCTGTTCCTTTGAAACAGTATTTCCTTGAACCTGGACTCACATTTTCCCTGCTAGGCTGGGTGCCGGCATGCCCCCAATGATCATGTGTGTCCATGTTCCTGGAGCTGTGGTTACAGGTGTATGGGGAGCACCTGGCTTGTTACGCAGGTGCTAGGATCCGACCCCAGGCCTCCAGCTTGCTCAGTAACCTCTCTCCTAAGCAGATGCTCCCGACCTTACTACTGACTCTGGAAAGCCTTTGTTTCTCCTTCTAGTTTTAGGGATCAAAGCTAAGACAGTGTTCTTGCTAGGCATACTCACCACTAAGCCCCAAACCTTTAAAGTCTTGTATTTCCATTTATTCCACAAGAGACAATCTCCAAATTGAGTATGAACAACATGGACAGACACATTATAGTTAGAACTCAACTTTATTGTTACAACCAATGTTTATTTACAGAATATAAATCTCTTCAAAAAGATACATTCCTTCATTTAATCAATGGTAGAAAGCCTTATTAAACAGAAAGAAAGCCTAAGCCGCACTTGAATCTTAACAGAAACGCGGCTTCATTGCAAGTTCATGAACACAGAACACAAATGTCACTTCAGCAGCTACATGAATGAGGCTGTTGAATTCACTGGCGATGCCATTTTATCCACGGAACAAATTTTACTTAAATTAACAGTAGTAAAACTTAAACTTCAAACATAAAAATATGTAACAACAAAGGAAAAAGCAGGAAGTATCTCGGCTAGCAAACAGATGAGCAAGTTCTCCGGCACTCAGACCCTGGCAGAGGCATAGGGAAACCCAGGACAAAGGCTGCATTCATCTGCGAGGTATCAAAGAATGTTCAGTGCTGAGACTATCCATAGCACTTACAGTCTATACAAAGCAGCTTTAGACTACAATTCACATTTGAGAAACACAGATTTAAGATCTATGCCACAGCTTCCCAATTCAACAGTTACTCATTCAGCTTTTCCCCTCGTGTATGGGTAACACCATGTCGTCTTCCTTCAATCAGGACATTTGACCTTGCTTACAGAAAAGTTCTTTGTAGGTTCCATTAGTTTACACTCACTTTAGTACAGGTAAATACAGAGGACAACTTCAGGTTACTGACAACGAACACTTTGTCACTACCTACAAACGAGCAGCAGCAAGCACAGTGCAGGCATGGCGGGCAGGCACTCCATTTCCTCCACAGCTCTACGGGTGTCACTGGGCTTCAAACGAGCTCTCACAGTTACTGGCTAGGAAGCCTGTAAGTTCAGTGCAATAGGTTTTCCTGCTCCACTTACACAAACTAATCCAAAGACAACGTGATGTTTCAGTTCTGTAAGGATCTAGTGTTGTATTAACGTATTAATGGGATCCAAATCACCACGGTGGGGAAGATAACCGAAACATAAAATTATAAGAGTTTTTTGTAAGTATATATAATATACAATGCATAATGGACAAGTGTGTTGGTGACGCCACAGGGCACAGTCCAGGACAGAGGCCTCCAACACAGGAGTGTAAAGTGCTTATGAGTAAAGCATCAGTGTTTGTTCCTATTCCCAGCACATTGGGGTTTCTTCCCATAGCAAACTGAACCAAAATTGAAATTTTTCAGCACAAAAACTATTCACACACATCTAACTCATTTGTAATGTGTCACTGAATTTAGACTTCAAGAATTCAAGGTAATACAAAAACCGCAAGTATTTTCTTTTACAGAAACACGGGCTGAAGTTCCCCAAAACAGGGATGTTTTACCTGGAGCAGCTGATATCATTGGTCAAAGCCCAGACTTAACACTGCCTGCCGTCACTATGGGAAAGGGGCAGCTCACCGTCCTTTACCTTGCTGTTCAGAACAGAAACATGCTGAGAGACGCAGCTCAGCTTCTCATGAAATCTGACGGAGAAGAAAGCCCCAGCAACTGGCCCTGAAGTGAGAGACACTTAGAGGCTCGTCTCCACCTGCACTCACCTTATGTGTGAGGTAGCTGCCACTAGGAAAACCCCAGCACAAAGCATTGTGGACTTTGTCAACAGGATGACAGGGATGACAGGTTAATAGGAAAATATTTACGTCTACAGTACTCTGGAATGCAGTATAAAACACTCAAAAGCAAGTTAGAGGGAAAACTCAACCTGACATTACTGCCCTCCATATGTCCGCTAGTGAGACCATCAAGGGGTCCAGGCGGCTTCCGTTCAAACTAGAGGTTTCTAACTTTCCTTTAGAGTGCTTTCGAGAATTCTTCCTTTAAGTCTCAAGTCAAAAAGTTAAAATAAACATGGGGGTAATTGTCATAAAAGACACCCTGTTCTCACATTCTCATACTGACCCACTCCAGAGAAACCACCAGACAAACTAAGAGATGCCATTTGCCCTATGTCTTGTACGGATGGGATTTACGTTCACATTGAATTTCAGTTTCTTGCTGAAAGTGTCAACAGACTATAAATAGAAAAGGGGACCACACTTCAGTTCACAAACAGCAAATTACATTTTTACTTTCCTTTATCTTCAAATTGTGACTCAGAGAATGAGCCTTATAAATTCACTGCTCCCCGGTGTCTAATCAACAAAAAAGTCAATAGCTGAGCAAAAATTGGAGAAAAGTCTTATTAGGCACTGAGAGGCTAAATAAATAAATACCAACACAACTAAAACCCAGTAAACCTTACCTCTAGTTCTTGCCATTTCACTGCACAGCTAGAGCTGTGCACTGTTCCCAGCCAAACACCCACAGGCTGGGTCATACAGTAACAGAAAAACTTCTACAAAGGAGAATGCAAACTACGCGCTCTTGCAGGACACAGGGACACTAATTACACTGCTTATTTACACTGTCTATTTACACTCCAGGCAGACCTAGTGATGAGGTTTGTGCTCATGTTGACCTCAGGCGGATCATGTCAACAGTGACACGTGGCCACCACATCTCATTTCCTGGGAAATGGTGGTAGCACGAATTAGAAGAGGGTAGGAAAATCAATTAACATTGGTCAGGTTCAAGATCATACAGGGGTGCCAGGGAGACAGGATCAGGGTAGAGGGCAGAAATGTGGAATTTTGCTTGTTACAGCATCCAGGCCACTACGGTCTATTGATTAACATTGAACATCCATGAATGCCACTTCTAACATCCACTTTCATATTTACAAAATGAGCTTACCACCAGTTGAGTGATTAGGTAAGGCATTCAAATTCCTTAGCTTAACAAAAGAAGGCAACTGATATTCTAGCAAGCCACAGGACACATTTTAGAGGGATGCTCTTCAGAGCTGTCCCAATGTACCCTCTTTAGAAACCCTTACATGGTCAATACAAAGGAAAGACATTTTGAATCCTGTTGATAGTCTACACCATGATCCCCAAAAGCTGTATGGGAAGCAGGCACATCAGAGCACCCAAATCTGGCCAAGGAATGGGGACAACAGTTTGCATGTGCTAATCTTTCTCCAAGATCTCTTGCATGCTAGCAGGGTAAACAAGGAAGTCTCCATCGCTGCATTCACTGCCACAGGAGTCTCTGAGGCAGCTGTGTCTCAGTCGGCCGCGATGCAGTCCAACAGCAGCAGCAGCAGCAGCATGGTGAGCCCCATTCAAAGCACTCTCAAGTAAGATCGGGAAGAGACTAGCAAACACTGTCCTCTGCAGTGTCCCAATGACACATACTCTCGGATTTCAGGAGGAGGAAAGCAAAGACTCGGGAGGCTCACATCTATGGTTCTATGACAATGTTCCAACCACGAATGACAATTCCAGTAAGCCAGTCCTCGTAGGTCTGCTTTAACATTGAAAAGAGCTAGTCATCATTGTTTCCATTCAAGGAATTCAGCTTGTAATGATCTGATCTTACAGTAATGTGGTTCATAAAAACAAAAGAGATCGTTACAACATTGGGGAGGTAGAAACCAAATCCAGGTCTAACACTGTTGGAGACACACACTTAGTCTATTTACGTGGCTAGAATTTACCATCTCAGATGGCCAAGGTCTGTAAGTGTTTCCACTTTATTAGCTTTGAACATGTTGCAACAATCCAAGTATTTTAAAGCACTTGTCTGGAACTTAAGTAATGTGGAACAATATACCAGATGATGTCTTAGGATAGATCTGTATTGCATACTTTAAATATGCAGATCCATGGAGCTAACTTTGTACAAAAGCACTTATGTGACCAAAGTGCAAAGCCTGTCTGACTAATCTAAGTTAGCTGTGACTGCTCAAGCCCACAGTCTTCAGAGATTAAAGCCTTCTTTGTCTACTCAAAGACCCAACTTCCTTCCATATTCCATATAATAGTTGCCTCCCTCTTACACCTATACAAAAAATAAAAACCAGACTAACAAAACAAGATAAAACAAGTCCTCCTACCACGACTACTATTTAATTCACATTTTCTTATTTGTTAAGATTTTAAGTATTCAAGCTCAATGACCTACCTAAATGTTCCTTACTGATTCTTCTAACAGCTTTAACAATATTACTCTGAAATTACATGTATCAGCAATCACTGGCTGACTCTACAGACACAAAACCAACCTAAGGAATGGATCTGAATACAAAGAATCTAAACGATATTCCTTGCTTCCAAGTATGATGAACTCTGTATGTTTGTTTCAAATACTAACAATATTATTTAATGAACAAAAACAGAGTTTCTCAAGTTAAACAAAATTTTTGGTTAAAAACAATTTGACAGGTAAATTCTAAAAACTGGGACTATTTATTACCCTAAATGATCATTACCTAGTATTTTAAAACATGACTTAATACAGATTTTAACATTAAGTTGTTATACTTATATTCCAGGATTATACAGTAAATATATTCAGGCTACGTAGAGACAATTTCATTCTAAGTTGTATTCTTCAAAGAAATTATTTCCAATTTCCAATTCAAAAAAGTATACCCTAGAGACAGTGGCTGTCTTGCTCCCTGCTTAATGGGCACTTATCTAGAAAACTCTACAACACCCTAAGTTACTACCGAGGCAGTGACTGCCACGTCAAGAGTAAATGATTCATTTTCAGAGGCTACAATGAATGTTTTTTCTAAAATTAACCCCACTAACAAAACTTTTAAAAGATCTCTACAACATTCTGATTCCACACACTGAGCCAACAAATGAAAGATGAAAGTAGTCAGTCGTGTCAAATCTGTAATAAATAATTCACATGTAACATGGACATATTGCCAAAGGCTAAAGCTCACTCTAATCTTTCCACTGATGGACAAATCTCTAGCCTGCCACATACTGACAACAGTAAGTGTATTTTAACATCTTTCTATTTAAAAATAGATTGGTTGTTTAGAGGCAAATTTGTAAAGCAAGATAACCAAATTAAATGAGTGTTAACAAATATTGGCTTTTGGAATTTCTTAGGAAGCATCCACAAGCACTGCTCGGCTCCTGGAGAACAGTGAGTCCTCTTCTTTACTCAGGCATCTTTAGTGCTGTGACCTCCGGCTTCATTTTAAAGTACTGGTTAAAGCGGACAATGGCGTACCTAGTGAGAAAGAACAAGGAAAACTCAGAGCTCACCTCAGCTCTTCAGCTGCTTCCAAAAATTTAAAATTTCCCAAGTGCATGCGTAGTCTGCTGCACTACTGGACACTTCCCGTGCTGAACACTGACCAACCTAGAAGCTTCTACATGGCTTTAAAGTGGATTTGGCCTCCAACACACTGCCTGGAAACAGTAATGTGACTGTCCTGTGACTTCTACACACTAGTCCAACCAAGAGGAGACAGACAGCATCTTACAGTTAAGGTCATCTTACCCAAGGAAATCAAACTCAATTGTGGAGTACTTGGCTTGGATCAAAGCCCAGAGTCCCCAGAAGAAATGAGAAGCCTTAAAGAGAAGAAAAGTGAAGAATCATGAAATAAATTGTTAGTTCTATATTTTTCATCAATCACATGCATAATAGATTTTTTTTTCCCTCTACTTTTCTGGTAAATATTGAACCTAGGTCTCCTGAGCTACATACACTCTGTAGCCCCAAAAGGATCTTCTTTCTTGTTAATTTTTACACAACTTAGCCAGAACAGAACATAATAAAGCAGGGTAGTGACTGGGCCACCACTGGTGACTCTAAACTAGGAAGCCTTAGAAACTTAAGTCTAGTAGTTTCTATAGCCTTTGTGCAGCACAGAATTTAGCATTCCACGTAAGATACAGACAGAGCAGTGGTTCACATCCCTCCATTCATTGAGTTGTCTCCATTGTTCACCCAAATCACAGCACTGATTCACAAGTGTACCCTAGAACTTAAAACTAATTCGATTAGAAATTGTAACGTAATTGTACATATGCCTTACAACTATTTCTTAAATGATTAACATGTTTACTTTACATGTTTACTTGAGTGCCTCCGTGTACCACATGTATGCCTGGGGCCCAGAGTCTAGAAGAGCATTTTATGACCCCTGCACATGCAGTTACAGCCTGCTGTGTGCCACCATGTGGGTGCTTAACGTCAGTTCCTGCTTGAAAAGCAGCCCTTATTTTCTTTTTGAATTACTGTGTGAGTGCATGTGTGTGCATATGTGTGCATGTGTAGTGGGCATGTGTAGTGGGCATACACACATATGTGGAAGAAAGAGGAAAACCTGAAAGAATATTTTTCCCTTCCACCATATGAACCCCTGGAATTTTACTCTGGGCATTAGGCCATCTCACTAGCCCACAATTAATTTCCATTTAGACATCACACATTAAAATTGTTAATTTAGGTCAGCAACAATATAGTTCAACAAGGAAAAGAGCTCTAAGTCTAATCCCATGAACCATGATGGAAAGAAGAACCTATTTCCAAATGCTATCCTGACTCCCAATGTGTGCACATACATGAATGAACACACACACACACAGATAAACTAAAATGTTTATATATTTTTAATTCTGGTAACATGGGGGTGTTCTTCCAAAGGCCCCAGATGAGATTACCAGCACCTACCCCATAGCCAGGCAATAGTTCATAGCCATCTGTAACTCAGGGGATGCCTGGTGCTTCTGTGGGCACCAGGCATACAAGTAATACAAAGACGTACATACAGGCAAAACATTCATACACATTTTTTTTTCAATGCTGGTAACAAAAATGAAATTTCACTTCCCCAGAAATACTCTACTTTTACCAGGAATCCTCTAGGGGAAAAAAAAAAGTTAAAAGCCAGGTTTATTTCTGGTATATCCCCTAAGGCAAAAGCATCAAACGGGGCTGTGAGAGCACTCAGAGCTGTAGCTCTGAGCCTGTGGTGTGGGTCACGAGCACACAGGAGTCACCTAAGTCCATCAGAAAACACAGACATTTGCATTATGATTCCACACAACAGAGAAATTATGGAACCAATATAGGTGTCTAACAACAAAGTGATGGACAAAGAAGGTATCAATGAAATTTCTGCAATCATAAAGGATGTAGTTGTAAAAGTTATAGGAGAACTGATCCAGTAGAGATTGTCACTTTAAGTGCATTAAGCCAACTCACAAAGACAAATATTGCATGTTTTCTTTCATTTGTAGGTACAGAAAATCATGTATATATTCATAAGAACAAAGCAACGTTGTTTACAAAACACAGGGATTAAGGAAGGATAATGAAGGGAAGGGGGTGTAATGTGCTCCAAGTACACTGCATGCATGTAGCAGCCTTATATAACCCTGTATAATAATACTTCTTTTCTAAATTGGGGCTGGGAAAATGGTCCAATGTTAAGAATGCTTATTGTTCTTGCAGGGACCAGTTCAGTCACAGCACCCGCATGGTAGGCAACTCACAACCCATGGCTCCAGTTCCAGGGCTCTGATGGAGTCTTCTGGACTCCGTGGGCACTACAGCACACATGGATAGATGCAGGCAAAACACACACACACACACACACACACACACACACACACACACACACACACACACACAAAATAAATCAACCTAAACCTTAAAAAAAAAATTAATTAAAGTTGGGTGGTGGTGGTGCATGCCTTTAATCCCAGCACTCAGGAGACAGAGGTAGGCCAATCTCTGTGAGTTCAAGGCCAGCCTGGTCTGTAAGAGCTAGTTCGAGGACAGCTAGGGCTATACAGAGAAAACACTATCTCAAAAACAAAATAAATTAAATTTTGAAAAGCTAAGACAAAAAGATTACTACAAATTCCAAGTGAACTTGGCCAAGTTCCAGGACAATCTGAAGCCCCCCCCCTTTCAAAAAATAATGTTTTAAATATGAAGTCCTGTTGGCACCATATGTGAAGACTTGGTATGAATTTCTACTTCCCTCACCCTTGGGATAAGGAACACATATTCTACAGGTTGATTACTAACTCAAGTACAGTACATACATACATGGAAAAACTCAAGTCCAACACTTTGAGGCAGTCTCTGGCCTGACTGAGGTCAGCTAGGTAAGTTGTGTGTGTTTGGCCATGCATACTGTGAGAGAGGTACTCCTGTGTGTGTGTGTGGGGGGGGCCTTGATGGGGCAGGGCCTGGTGGTTACACAGGCACTGTCTTTCCCAGGGATGAGAGAATATAACGCACACTAAAACCAGGAGTTAAATGAACTCTCCCTGAAGTCATTTCCGTCAGCCCTTTGTGCAGCAATGAGAAAGATAGTTGCCATGAGCCCTCAGGCTGTGAGTTCTCTAGAGCACAAACACTCTAGAGCACAGGCTGTGACAGACGGTGCAACTCTGAAGCCTCACAATGCCACTGGACCTCACACTGCCACCAGCACTAAGGCCCAGATCTCACTCAGCATGAAGCCAGTTTCTCTAAAGACTTCACTGGTTAAAAAGGGGGAGTATGTGCCTACACATGCCTGTGCACACGTCTGTACAGGTCCTACCACAGTCTGCCTACTGTGAAGACACAGAGCAAGAAGTTAAAAAAAAAAAATCTCATGACAGGTCAGCAGAATTTTGGTAAAAGCAAAAAAAACAAAAAAACAAAAAAAAAACAAAAAAAAAAAAAAAAAAAAAAAAAAGACGAATTCCAACAAAAACCAACTCGTTTTATTCATAAACAACCAGAAGTTAGTGTCAGATCTCACAGTATAAGAACTTACTATATACATTAAAAAAAAAAAAAACCACATAAAATTTAGAGAAAATGCTACATGAGTGATGTGGGATAATGCTCTTGTTCATTGTAAGATTAACAAAACGCTGCCTGGCCAGTAGCCAGGCAGGAAGTATGGGCGGGGCTATCAGACTAGGAGAATTCTGGGACGAGGAAAGGAGAGAAAGGGTCGCCAGCCAGATGCAGAGGAAGCCAGATGAGAACGCCTTACTAAGAAAAGGTACCAAGCCACGTGGCTAAACATAGATAAGAATAAAGAGTTAAGTTGTAAGAGTTTGTTAGTAATAAGCCTGAGCAATAGGCCAAACAGTCTATAATTAATATTAAGCCTCTATGTGTTTATTTGAGACTGAATGGCCGCCGGGTGGGGTGGGACAGAAACTTCCATCAACTAGTAATCCTGTTAGAAAATTTAGCCAATGAGATGGCTCAGTGAATAAAGGTGTGTGTTTGCCATCAAGCCTGAGGACCCGAACGCAATGCCTGAACCTACATGGCGGTGAGAGAACTCATACCTGCAAGTTGATCTCTGGTCTCCACATGTATCATGTGTAGCAAGTATGCATGTGTGTGTGTGTGCGCACACACAAAAATGTAATAAAATTTTCAAAACTAATTTTGAAGTTTGATGTCTGTCATTTGTCCTTTATCTTTTTCCTATCAGAATGTAATAAATGGTGTGGCGGCAATGTGCACATGGACTCGCTTGACATTCTTCTTCACATGTGTGTATGTGTGAATACAGGTGTGCGTGCGCGTGCGTGTGCGTGCGCGTGCGTGTGTGTGTGTGTAGGCCATTGTCTATGGTGTCTTCCTATCTCTCCACACCTTATGCACTGTACACTGAGGAAGGATCTGTCACTTGAACCCAGAGCTCACCAACTGAGCTAGCCTAGCTAGCCAAATGGTTCCTGGAATCCATGCACTGGATTACAACGGGCTACCATACCTACTCACCTTTTCCACTAGGTTCCATGGATCCACACTTTGGCCCTAATGTTTACACAGCAAACAAGCACTTTACTCACTGAGCCATTTCTTGAGACAGGAGCAAACCAAGTAGATCAGCTGGCTGGCCAGCAGGCCCAAAGAGTCACCTGCCCAGGCCTCTCCCTAGCACTGGAGTAACAGGCATGTATGCCATGCCCACTCCTACATGCGTGCTGGGAATCCAGTCCTCACATTTGCACAATAAGCACTCTGCTCACTGAGCCAGCTCTACAGTTCTTGTATAAATGACACTCGGTGACTGACTGCAGGAGCCAGCATGGCCAACCACACCTGTAATCCCAACAACAGAAATGGAAGATTCATGGGGCCAAGCAAATCTAAAAAGCCCAGTAAGCTGTCTATTTATTTTGGTTTGGCTTAGTTTTTTAAGAATAAAGTGCAGGCTGGCCGTCCTTGCTGTGTGGACAGACTGGTGGTAAACCCTAGATTCTGCTACATCTGCTTCCCAAGAAGTAGAATTGTAGGCATGCACCACCACGCAGATGTTTATTTATAATCACACTTTGCTAAGAAATTTAAATAAATATGGGTGTTAACTTTTACCAAAACAATTGTATCTTTTGGATCTAAGTTGTAAGCATTTTGAAGAACTTTAATAGTAAACTTCTAATCTTCCTTAACTAGCATAGTAGTAAATGCTTAGCATCTGATTGATGAACCATGTACAGATATTATTCCAGAATTAAACAAAACAAAACAAAACAAAACAAAACAAAAAAAAAAAAAAAACGCATGTGAACACTGCAGGAAGTCTCTGGGTGAGTATCAGTGCACAGACATCAAGGACTTCACTGGCAGCCTCCAACAGACAGCAGCTACCACATCTCAACACTCTGAGTGTCTCTGGGGAATTTGTGCTGCACAAGACTATCAATAGTCTAGCTGCAGGCCATCAGTGCAGTCTATTTGAAAAAACAAGATGGTCAATGCTCCCAAAGACAATTTTACAGAGCTGTATTAAAACCTGTAACGCAGCTGAAGGAGCAGATTACCAGTTACTCAGTAATAACACATCAGCTACAAGTTGCACTGATGAACTACCACAGTCTCAGAAGATAACCAAGTGTTTTCAAACTAAAGGCAGGTAGAGGGAAATGAGTGGATAAAACAACAAGTGTGTCCTTAAAGCAAACAATCACACTCACAAAACTAAGAGCTGTATTGTATGGTGATGAAAATTCAGTTAACTTTGTCAGACACTTTTCACTGACTCTAAACTCACCAATGCAAACTGGTTGACTTGAATGAAGAGTGTCTCTACTTCCTTTTCGGTGACTTCACTGCCAAAGCCCTTATACTCCTTGTAGGCTTCAAGGTAAGAGCGCAGCCACTGGGCCTGGAGGTCTCTATCTGGATAGAGACTATAGTCTACATCACTGACACCTGGAAGAAACCGACACTGAGAATCACCTTCAGCATGCCTAAGTACTAAACACCAACCTTCTAACTGAAAGGTACTGAAACCTTTCACTTCTGCTAGCAAACCCTTAGTATTAAACAATGTACCAGCCGCCAAAGGCAGTGGCACCATTAGGAGGTGTGACCTTGCTGAGTTAGTGTGACACTGTGCAGGCGGGCTTTGAGGTCTCATATATGCTCAAGCTACCACCCAGTGTCTCAGACCACTTCCTGTTACCTAAATGATGCAGGACTCTCAGCTACTTCTGCCTGCACACCACCATGTTCCACCATGATGATAATGTAAACCTCCGAAACTAAAAGCCTCCACCTCAATTACATGTTTTTCCTTTGTGGGAAGAATTGTGCTCACAGCACCTCTTCACAGCAATAGAAAGCTGTTGTGTATTTTTATTTGTGTACTGACAAAGCAAGCTTGCCTGGAGATCAGAGGGCAGAGCTAAGCCACTAGCTAACCATAGAGGTCTGGAGGTCTGTACAGACCGAGACAGGAAGTGATATAGCCGGGTGGAGAGAAGGGATAAGGCGGGAGCAGACGGGACCCTGGCCTTTCGGGTCAGGAACTGCTAGAGCTAAGAAGTCTGTCTAGTGGTTGGCCGCTGTGCTTCACTCATCTTTCAGCTTCCACTCTGGGTTTTTATTAAGACTAACTGGGATCATGCATCAAAGCCCTAACTATAACACACTCATCTTACAGCTGGCCCCCTCCCTTCTCTTCCATTTCACATCCAAATACAACTCACATTCAGGCTTTAATTCAGCTTTCCCTAAGTTCTAAGACAACTGTGGCTTCCTCCTTCATAGCTACAACACTATGTGTGCCAAGTGGGTAGAGGGGGTGGAGTTCGAGACTGGGTTTCTCTGTGTAGCCCGGGCTGTCCTGGAACTCACTTTGTAGACCAAGCTGGCCTTGAACTCAGAGATCCAGCTGCCTCTGTCTCCCTTTTTACCCTACACAAACCTATCCCTTCTAGGGACAACGTGTGAAAATGCATGCGGCATATAAATGAGCAGTAGCATATGTACAGTAAATTTGGTAAGACTAAGTAATTAAAAACAAAACTAAGGCCTAGCCTGGTAATCTGCAATACACAAAAACACAGGAATCTGTTACATGTGCAAGTTCAGTGATGAAATGTTCTCTCACTACGGGGGAAAAAAAAAAAAAAACACCACCCAAAGCATTTTCTAATCTTTTATAAAAATCCTAAATAAAGTTGTGTTAACTATATTAATTTCAACATAAAAAATACCTTGCTTTATAAGTAATCATAACATTCAGGAGTAAAAAATGTTCAACCTTTTAATAGCCATAATCCAAACTAAACATCAGAAGTCTAAGCATTTTGTTTAAGCATTTCGAGAGCCATGCTGCCTTCCTGCGCTAGGGATGAAAGTCAGCATCTTTGCACATGTGATAGGGCAGCAGCGATACAAACCCAGCCCAAACCGAGACCTCCGCATGATCAAACCCTGGGCTCATTCCCTACAATCTTAGTGAGCTCTTCTTACACAAGCCTCCTGTACAGTGTCTTCTGAAGACACACAAACAAAGCCGGCAGGTCAGGTTGGCGTGGCGTTCCCACCCAGGTACTCATCTTGTTAACCACCCTGGGAGGACACTGTTAGCAGGAGCCCCAACAGAGATGTGTGGGTCTCACCTGCAAATTCATTGAAATGATTTCCAATATCATATGCCAGGTAGTTGTATCCAGAATACTCATAATCAATGAACTGTACATCACCTATGTGAGACACAAAAACAAAGCAAATAAGAAATCACACACATGATCAGAAACCCCTATTCTATCCGTAATTCAATCCTTCTCATACTTTGTCTCAATGTGTGTGCTTGGTTACATGCACTTTTGAGACGGCAAAGGCTGAGGCTGTGAATTTTATGGCAATGAGCTTTACAAAATTCATACTATGTCTCTTCATCAACAGCACTTCGAGAACACTATTGTTCACTTTTGTTTAAATGACAATATAATCATTTCCAAGTTCTAACAGAAGAAAGATGTTTTTCACCACATGGGGGCATCATAACTTAAAAATTCATGTCATTAGAAATTACTCTTTTGGAAATTGTTAACAGGCCTATCTTAATGAAGCATCACCTATGACACACTGTGTAGCAAGTTTATTTACATATGAAAATCAAACATAAACTCTGGAAACTTAAATTCTGGGACTGACAGTATACACTTGGTGACCAATGTGATGTTATCACATTTAAGAAATGAGTTGCTGTCAAATTCTTACATTTGACATAATTATACAACTGAGTTTTCCATACCTTAGGGGTATTACAAAAGTGATTTCACCTTTTAAAACAATAATGATACAGTCTTTAACATTTGGAAATTTTATTAATTTTTACATAAGTTAAATTAAGATTTGTGTGTGCATTTGTATGTGCACATGTATGAGCATGTGTGTGTGAAGACATATCTGTTAGCCTTTTTTATAAGTGAACACCACTACTTAGTAATTTTTAAGTACTCATTATGGAGGGATTACATGTAAATATACAAGTTGTATATGAACAGAATAAACAAAAAATAGAAGGTGGTGATATTAAGTTTAAGAAAAAACCTGCTGTACGTCTCAGTCTACACTGGAGAAATTTGTACTCCATGGAGCTAACTACAAGTACAGTAGACAGAACGATGGCCACAGCTGTGACAGTCATTTCCAGAATGCTCAGGCTAAGAAAATGTGTGTTACTCCATCGTGGTAAACAGTAAAAACAGGTGACAAAACGGACTCCTGGTCTACAGACAGTGATACTTGCCCAAATAAAATAGCATCGGAACTTTAATGTCTTAATAGAGATTTGTATAATTAATCAAAAAAGTATACTGAGCATATTCAATCACCAAGAAAAAACAAAAAATGTTGTAGTAAATGTACTCATTTTTCCAAAAATTGCATTTAATAAATGTCAGGTTCCTTAAATGTTAGTAAATCATCCTGCAATGCAGCCACTAGTGTGATGCACTGCAAGCCCAAGACTACTGGACAAGCACAGCCATAACTCCAGGACTTCACTAAGGACAAGGAAACAGGGACACGCCTGGCGATGAGAGGCTACAGACAAATACCATGGCAAGTCCTTGACTCACACAAAGCCGTAAAACAGCTTTCAAAGCTAATAGTCTAAAATACAGGAGTTTTGAATACGGATACTGAATCAAAACACTGGGGAGCAATTTATTAAAATATGTCTACGAAAAGTGTGTACTTAATACAGGGCAAAGATGAATTTAAATAAACCCTAACAAAGTGTTCAGCTCCTTTCACTACAGGTGGTATAGACAAGTGACTTTCCCGTTAACTTCTCTTTTAACTTCTTTACAATGAGCACTTTCTTAGAATGAATACTACAAATATTCTATAGAAACTGTCAACCAGTAAAACTAAACAGAATGGTCCAGAATATTCCTGTCCCTCCACAGGCCTTCTAAGAACAGAATACAACATTTACCAAGGTGCATAACTGAACCAAGCAAACACGTTTAACACACATAGCTTTAAATGCAGCTGTTGATGACTCTAGCTCTTTAGCACAACTCCTTGTAGAGCTCATGTTACAGTTAAATGCCAATAAAATACACAGCCCAGTCCTGAAGCTTACTGCTCCACATAAATAACAGCTTCAATTTTCAAAATTACATTTAGAATTTGGCAAATACAGTTAAAATGGCAGGTAAAAACAGACCTGCTTATACACATAATTTAATTAAAACATAAATCATTTTAAGAAAAGTTAAAATCTGTTTCAGCATGAAAAGTTTTAGCAGTGACTTTTGTAGTAGCGTTAACTCGTTAACACTGGCCTTTATGTTTAAATGCTATGTTGAGTTTATAATGAAATCTAAAGATAAGAAAATGAAGCTAACAAAATACAGATGGGGCTGTTACCAGGCTCCGTGCATGTGAACAAGTGAGGCGACAAAGCTCCAGTCAATGCGTTTAAGAAGCACGGGTAGGCCGCCACATGGCGGCAGCAATGGCATGCCTAATCTGTAGCAGATGAAGAGAATTTGGCAAACTCACATTGTACAACACACAAAGCTTTAAAGGAAAGAAAGTTTTAAAAATCTGCATTAACTATTCTTTTCAAGTTATTACAAAGTGGAACTCAACCTTAAATTTAAAATTCTGCAATAATGTAAAATTATAGAGGCCTATTTTAGGGTGCCAGAAAAATCAAATTACAGTATTGAAAAATGCTTTCCTAGCAACAGAAAACATGACACTTCTTTATCCAGTAAGTTTAAATTTTTATCTCTAAAACTGCACAATATTAAGAATGTTCATACCACTATTAACAAATAATGTGAACACTCATTCCCTACAGAGGGACTTCTAGATCATCCAGATTATCAAGACATCCTTAACCTCTAAAAACAGTGACTAGCTTAAGGGCTAGCTAGCATTTTTATTATCTCAGATAATTACATCAGTGACACACATACAACGCATAAAGCAAACAATGGGTGAATTTCAATTATCAAAGGTCTATTTCTGGTTTTTACTCGTTGGAAGCCCTTCACCACTGCAGAAAAATCCATAGTTATACTCCCAAATCTCAATGAGAAAAAGTCTTCCAATTATAAAAGTGTTTTAAAGTCAAAACTGACTGACTACCCAAGGCTATGTAATTATGACAGACACATTTGTCTGGACTTCACTTTTGTTAAAAAGATAAGAGAGAGAGACAGAAGTAAAGGTATCAACAAGAGGATGTGAACGACCTTCCAGTCCTCCACCTGCTCCGTGTTAGACACGTAGAAACATCGATGAGGATGTTTCTCTGTGTTACAACAATTCTGCAAAAACACTGTCTTCCGCAGAACCCGGCAGGAGGATCTAGGCTGGGAAGTAGCCAGTTCTGCTCTGTATCACCTCCATCACAGCATTAATCAGTCTGAGTTTAAGGGTGAAGGGTCGGCAACTGCTATGTGACAGACATACAGCCTGGCACAGAAGCCCTCCTGGCACATGAGCAATCAAATGCTAGGACAGAAACTGAGGTTCTACAAAGAACACTGAGGCAGAGTCATATACTGGGTGGGGGGGTGCAAAATGACATTAGAAAAAGGAAAATGTGGTATTCTAACTTTCTCATCCAAGTATAACTCAAATACAGTGGACCTGAATGCATGGGTTGTAAAAAGCTCTAAACCTCTGCCTGTGCCCATGCAAACAGCCCTGATTAAAATCAGTAGGCCATACACAAAGAGGGGAGGGAGGCAGAAAGCATTCAGCAGGAAAGGTAAGAGAATGAGAGAATAAGGAAGAGAGAAATGATGTGAACGTGTGTGAAACTGAGAATAAAAATAAACACTGAACACAAAGACTTAGCAACATCTTAAGTCGTTGTTCCTTATAATAGTACAGGAATGGCTTGGCTGGTTTTTAAAACAGGGTCTTGCTGGGCAGCCCTGGTTGGCCTTGTATTCACTATGCAGACCACACAGGCTTCATGAGACTCATGGCAATCTTTATGCCTCAACCTCCTGAGAGCTATGTGCCTGGCTAAAGTTCAGTTTCACAACTGCCTGCCTGACTTTGGAGTATTTTCTTTTCCTGTGCAGTAGTATAGAACAAATCACTACTGGGTTGGTATTACTCCAAGATGATAGAAATGTTCTACACTTTAGGGCGCTCCAGTTACAGGGGTGCAGCACTGTCAAATTCACTGAGTAGATGCTTAACACACCTTTTTGTTTTTAAAGGCAGGATTCCAATATGGTGTCCAGGTTGGCCCTGAACTTCTCAAGCTCTAGATAGCCTATACCTCAGTTTCCCAAATGACTACAATTCCAGGTACACATCATCAGTCCCAGCTCAATGTGCTAAGATTGTGAGAGAATACTTCGGTGAATGCTGAGCTCTAGAGATGCTCTGCTGCTAAAGAGCTTGAGCATGGAGGCCACTCATATCTGCAACTCATTGTGAAATACACATAAAAGAAAGTAAGATGGACTGACTGATGGATGGACAGGTGAAGTGGGGTGACAGAGCACAAACTTGTTAGTTCTAGACTCTAGGTGGGAGGTACATGGGTAATCATCAGATATGCGTTATTTATTACATTTATTTGTATACCTGTATTTGTAGATATTTAGATCAAATTGTATATAACACACACACACACACACACATACGCATACACACGCACGCGCGCGCGCACACACACACATATGTTTTATCCTAACCAGTGTGGTGGTACTCCAAGTGGGTAAGCAAAGCTCTACGTGCAAAACATATTGGTTTTTATAAGCAAACATATTTATATGACTATGTACCTACTTCTAACTGTTTCATCAACAAATGTTTACAGTTGTCTGTATATGAGATTACCTTTCAAATGAAGACAGGATTTATTTTGCATCTGTTAATTTTTTAAAACAGAAACTCAACTGGCCCTGAGGGTGGCCTTGGTTTTCCCATCCCCTTTACTCTACCCTACAAATACTGGAGTAGCATACTATCACACCCATATACGCAATAATGAGGGTGGTACCCAAAGCTTTAGGCATATCAAGCCAGCAGTATATCAACTGAACTACATCTGCAGTATCGGAGGGTCAGTTTTATAAAGAGGCCATGGAGATCTATCTCAGTCTGGCAAGAAGGTACTAAGAAATCTCTACAAATCTCCTAAAATGTCATATCTTTATTGAAATTTTAAAATAAAAATCAACAGAAAACTATCTTCTAAGTCACCAAAAGAACAAAGCTCTACATCAGTGGAGAGAATGGGTCTGGGTTAGAGCCAAACAAGTGCCTCAGTGTGGTGACTTTCCTACCTGCAGTGTGCAAAACTAAAGAAATTCCAAGAAAAGTGTTCAATTTCCTCTACTCCTTTGAACTGTCTACATGCTTACCAACTTCTTGTATTTCACTGAAGAGAAAATGGGCAATGATTAACAAACATATAATAAGCCTCGTATGTAGGCTCTTATGAAGAAATGGGGGGAGGGGGAGAAATGAAGTCATTGTCAAATCAAAAACATTCTGACAAGAGCAGGGAGAGGAAAGCAACCCCAAAGTTTCATCAACTGATCTGACATGTAGCAACTAAAGAATTAGTAATGATAAAAATATTACACCGGAAGTCAATCAATAAACAACATTCCAAGTTCCTTGCTCCAAACCTATGAAATTAGCAAGGTAACAGACAACTGCACAGTGGGGTCTTCTGCTCTGCAGGAAGAATAAGCCTGCTTTCCACTTATTTCAGATTCTACCTCATCACTATGCACTGTTCCCACTTCAGTCAAAGCCTGGAATGGGCTACTGTTTAATGCCAACTTTTCAAAATCCCGATACCAATTCATTCTGGAAGGACACCTAGCTTGTACTGTGTCCCCAAGTGCTATCATCTCACAATCTGAGCATCAATACAAGGTCAGTACTGTGCTTCTTGAGAACACGAGGCTTTCTCCAAGATGGTAAAAATGTTCTACACTTAAGAGTGATAAGTGTCCCTTTTTTTTTTTTTGCGCTATACTTACACTTCCTTGTAACATTTACACAGGAGAATGCCAAATAAACATAGGGAACACTTAAAAACTGAGTGTCATCTCACACACACAGGCCACAGTGCTTAAAGACTTTCCTTCCTTCTTTTGATCAGATACATCATACAGCATACATATATGCTACAAACATATATAATATATGTGCTGGCAAACAATATATGTATATTAATGCCGAAGCCAGTTTATCACATTATTTTTAAATGTATAAAGGCATCTCAAGATGATAGTGTACAAATTTACTACATTAGCTTCAAATTTATACTTCTGAGAAATTAAAAGTTAAAGTATATGACCAAAACAGCTTGATGATATCAAGGCCAGTCCCTTCACTTTGTCTATAACATTTATCAATTTGTATCTCCTAAGATAAGCAGAAACAGTGAGGCCTGATTACCTTAGAGCAACAGATCAAATGTGTGAACAGAATGCACGATTCAATCCATTATTGTGTATGTAAGTCTCCCTCCCTTCAGAAAGCTCACCTTAGCTTTCATGACAGCAGATGGCTTAGTTCACACTGCCCTCTTTTCTTTTTGCCTGCCCTTTAATGGCTGAGCCATCTCTCCAGCCCATATGTGTCAGGTAGGGGTGTGTGTGTATGTGGGTGATATGAGTACTCTTTGTGTGTGTGTGTGTGTGTGTGTGTGTGTACATGCACACACACATTTTCTGAAGACAAAACCTTACTATGTAGCCCTGGTTGTCCTGGAACTCGCTCTGTAGACCTTGCTGACCTCAAACTCACAGAGATCTGCCTGCCTCTGCCCCCACCTCCGCCTCCCAAGTGATGTAATTAAAGATATGCATCACTACACACGCCTGGCTCCTTTCTAAGATCACTCTGGAGTGTCAAAGAAATGTTCCAGGGGCAAATAAATCATTTCTCGTGCATTAAGCTAATCAAATTGCTGGAATAAGGCATGGTATCTTATATTTGCAACTATAAATTCAAACAGGTCATTATGGTTTCATTGTCTGAAAACTACCAGCTCCTCAACTGAAATGTGGTGAGGTGTTCGTGAATTTTAGCATTATCTAACATCCTAACCAGTGTCTGTCTTAATGTTTATGCATCAACTACTAACAGATCTTACAAGGGAATGCCACAAGATCCAATTAGCTTCTCTAGTAGACATAAAGCAATTAACTCCCTGGTAAAGGGGAAACATACACACAGCACAGCCTTTCCATAACTGACAGGCAAACACACACAGAGACAAGCAGCAATAGCACATGGGCTCCTACTGGCAGGGGAGGGGCAGAGGGACATGGAGGGGCACTTGGACCTGCAATGCCAAACTAAAAGCTAACTGTTCTCTTTGAAATACAAGCACTTTGTATGTAAACTATCAACAGCTGAGACTGACAACTGTTTAAATGAAAAGTACCTATGACAGAGTAATCTGATTTTTTTGGTCCCTTAATTTTTAGTTTTATAAACAAGTTTGTTCTATGAAATGAATATGCAAAAGAAACATAAAAATAAAAATATGACAAGTTAAAATTATATTCCAAAGAAGTAACAAATTCCCTTTAACTTGCAGTTAAAAATAAAGCTGAGTGTCCACTTTAAATGTAAGATGAAGTCCCTTACTTGAAACTTCATTACATAAATGTGTTATTAGGTCTTGCACTGGACGCTCCTGTCTCGTGGCATTGAGATTTGGTCACCACTCGGTTACTGTAACAACTGTACAATCTAAGAATTACAGAAAGTAATTCCACACAAAAATTAACATGACTTGAGACAAAGGCTTTACGCCAGGGTTTGTAAACTTTCAACCGCATTCAAGCATCAAGTATGAAAGAGAAATGTGTTTGAAAATACAGCTATTAAGGCCACCAACCTTGACAGTGTCCCTTTAGTTGGTTTCCAGTTAAAGTTAGCCATAATTACTAACAATTCTTTTATTAGGACAGTTCCAACTTTGGATATAAGATCACCAATGGTACATGTAATATATTTATGACTACATCAATAGTCATTCTTTGGCCTTAACATTCTCACAAAAGCACTTTTTTTTATTTAAAATATAATCTTCCGAATATGACTACTTCCAAATGGGTTTCCTGTGAAAAGCAGCAGCTTCACAGTTTCAAGAATACTTCTCAAATATAAACTTTTTAACACGAATTGTACTTTAAAATTTTAAGTTAGAATTTGAAGGTGTTTATTGTTTAGCAACCAAACCTCAAACCACTTTACCCAGTGATCTCATAATGCAACCAGTGACTCTTTGATACGAACACAGAGAATCAAGGTATGTACAGTCACACAAAAAGCTACACCTCAGAATATGTTAACTATTGACCAAGGCTATTTTCTTCATTATGACTTCATTTGATGTAAGTATGAACAAAGACAGTGTTCTCTACACCCAAGCCTCTCCCTCATGTCAGCATATTCACAGATTACAAAGCCCAGAGTTATTAAACGCTGCTCAGCTCACAACACTAAGAGGTTCCCAGGAAAACCCAGCAGTGCAGTAGCAATCGGTTGATTTCCCACACTCCCCACTACAACAGACATGCTTTCAAATCACAAATATCCAAACAGCTTCTAGAAAAATAAATATTTATATGTATACATTTATAAATATATATGTATACACGCAATCATTTCATCATTTTACACTTGAAAAGCCAACAAGAACCACCAACTACTTCTAATAAACCAAACTTTAGAGGCATTTTACCCATACATACATATCCCTAATGGCAATTACAATTTTTATACCTTCAAGAGAAAATCTCTGCGTATGTTTTAATCCTTATTTACTGATACAAAGACAAGGGACCATTAAGAGTATACAATCAATCAACTTACTGCTAAGGTCAGATACCTACCTTGTTTCTCGTTGTAGATTATATTCTTACACAACAGGTCATTATGGCAAAGTACCACAGGTGAGCCCAGGTTGGACAGGATCTCTTTCATCCACGTCATCTCCTCCTGAAGAAGCTGAGGGCTTGGGACATCACTTAGGAACCTTTCCATTCAAAAGAAGAGTTAGAGCTTGTTTATCTAACTGAAACTTCTTTCAAGTTTAAAGTTAAAATTCTACTTCAGTGTTTCCACTGAATAAGCACATATTCCTCAATTCAAAAATAGATCAATATGTTCCAAAGCTTGAGTAAAGAAGAACTTTATAATCAATTTACACATAAGACTCAGCTTTAATCCTAGTACTTCGAAAGCAGAGGCAGGCAGATCTCTGAGTCTGAAACCAGCCTGGTCTACAGAGTGAGTTCTAGGACAGCCAGGGCTACACAGAGAAACCCTGTCTCAGAAAGTGAAGAGCAAAAGATAAAAATTCTTGACATTCAGAACTGGGGGAGGGACAGGATAAGCAGTTATCAGCTGTGATGTACCATTCGAACACCTTACATTTACTGCCACTTTATACAGATAAGAGACTGAGGCACAATGAATTCATTGAGAGAAGTTACAGACTGAAAATACTTATTTTAAGCAAGGAAAGATGAATGCAACAACAACAAAAAAGTTCAATTTTCATAAAATCCTAGAGCAGTGTCTGAAATGGAGACACTCATATTGCAAAGTTAACCTTACAGCAGAACTCTATCTACAGTTTGTCTCAGTGCAACAGGGACAGACACTTTTAAAAGACCTCTTACCACAGAGTTTAAGCACATGGTTTAAGTAAGGTGCATGGGAAGAAGAAAGAACCCGAAAGTATGGATGTGGGTGATCTATTTGTATAAGTTTGATAGAAAAAGAAATGATATAAAATGAGATGCCTCCCCTCGCTTGCCAAGAGCACCAGCAAGGCTCAAACCGCTATTCAAGCACTCCTTGCCAAAGAGCGGCCTGTCCTCTTGGTTCCTTACCAAAGTCTCTCAACTACTCCTTACTCCGCGCAGACTGTCTCCATGGGGAGACCACCAGCACACCCAGCTAACAACTTACAGTATTCCCTTCACACACACGACAGCACGGAGCTGAGCACTTGCCAAGAGGACATGACAGGGACAGTAAGCGGTAAGCAGGCCAGTCTGGACCCTGAGGCTGCTGCTGCCCGCTCCACTTACATTTACCCTTTGTATGTGTGCACATGCACATGCAGGTGAGCGCGCTGTGAACTCACACATCTGCTGTGCACATGCACATGCAGGCGAGCATGCTGTGAACTTACACATCTGCTGTGCACATACACATGCAGGTGAGCACGCTGTGAACTTACACATCTGCTGTGTACATGCAGGTGAGCGCGCTGTGAAACACTACAGATAGTTTGAACTTGGAAATCAAGCTGGAAAAGCTAAGATCCCAGAAAGTGAATTTTCAACTTGACAATAGGTCATGTAAATAAACACAGTAAACTAAGATAACCTAAGTTTTTTTACAGTCCCAATATACATGTCTAGACATCTATAGACAGAAACATTTAAAAGGCCTCTCTAACCAATCATAATTGCTCCACTGAACCCTTCACAGTTGTTTTTATAATTGTTCCTAGATACTCTGTGCCTCTCTCATGTCCATCCCCCTTTTAATGTTGTGGGGACATTTTCTTCAGGGCTGGGGCCTGCCAAAGAATAGGGCGGCTACTTTTGTAGTGTGATCTGAGAGCCACAGGGCCAATGCTTTTGTTCACTTGAGTGCAGAGAGGAAAGCAAACTAGATTTTGTACAGGCTTTGTTATCTTTCATTACTTATTAAGAGTAAAGCAATGCAAATACCTTAGCAATTTACCTTTTATTAATGTCTTCATCAGCAAATCCTGTGGGAATGAGAGAGAAGTATTTCCCCATCTTTAGCCATAGGTTAGATTTGGGGATCCAGCCATTGTGTGCATGGATAGCATGGATTTTTGCAAGCTGACGAGCTATTAGCCTGTTTAAAAACAAAAGAGCATAAAAACTTAAGTACAGTAAAGCTGGCCCTCACTTATCACCTTTATCCTCAGGTGCCACATCTCAACTGTCTTCTACATCTCTTGGCATTTCCTTCTGTGCTCCCATTGTAACAGTGACTCTGCCAGGTCAGCTTAGGTCTGCTCGCCGCATGCCCTGCCAGACTGCTCAGCCTGCCCCTCCCACAGCACCTCTGCTCAGCCTGCAGCCCTCCCGCAGCACCTCTCACCCCAGGATGAACGGCTACCATCCCTGACTCCTGATGCCACCCTACAGAAGTTTCTGACCTGTTAACATCCCATTCTGTTCCTTGGCTACACATTCCCACTGGCACGCCTCTACTCACCTTAAGCCCAGCTTCTCCTCTCCCTCTGAAAATTAACACTGCCATAGTCAAGATCCTTATCAGCAAGATACTACCGTAATTATGATCCCCAGGAGTAAAAGCTATCCTCATCAATGGTAATGCAGGAAAAAAAAAAAATCTATTATCCTCACAAAATCTGATTAGTGGGTTTGGCTGGTATCCAGCTAATGAATGAGAATATTTAAAAACTTCCCTGCTAACCTTAAGGTACAAAAATATTTGAGAACTCAAACTGAGACACAGAATCAAGGATCATAAGCTTGTGATTAAACAAACACTTGTAGTAAGGTTCTTACTACATGTATTGTTCTTGTCTGATTTGCTGAGACGGAGTGGCATGTACCCTATGTCCTTGGACTTCTGATCCTTTTGTGCCACCTACTGGGGTGCATTACAGGGGAGTGCCACCATGCCCGGCTTAGCAGTACTAGGACACTAACCCACGGCTCCACGCCTGTTAGGCGAGCACTTTACCAACTGAGCTACACCCCCAGCCCTCTATCATGAATACTCTTGAGTCTTATCCATGTGGCTTACATAATGCTGACCTTAATCTTAAAACCCATTTGCATTACCAGATTTAGGAGCACACAAACTGACTCACGCCTGTGTGAGGAGCACAGTTAGGTGGTACAGTACTTACCCAGGATATACGAAGTATATCATAGAATACTTTTTTTTCTAATTCTTCCAGCTTTATTTGGACCATATTTATTGATGTTTCTTTTATATCTTTGATATTTCTCCATGTTTTGAGGCACAAATATAAAAATCTGCATTTATTATTATTTTTAAAGTTAAACTAGCTAAGGAATCTAGTACACTAAGTAGATTACTTGATGATATTTAACTGAAACTCACAAACTACTTATTTCCCATATATCTGAGGGCCGGCACTACCTTCTCATGGCATACTTTTTAAAGCAATAAAGCATAACCCTCTTTTGCTGCTATTTCTTACTTATCTTCTATACTAGTGATCAAACCCAGGCAAGTATTGCTACACCCTCAAGCTTTTCTCTTTTGCTGAGACAGGACCACACAGTTATGCAGGTTGAATTAGATCTCCAGTGGAACCCAGGTTGGCCTTGAACTTGCTACAATCCTCCTGTCTCTGCTTCCAGAGGGCTGGCAAAACAGCATGAGCCACCTTGCTCAGTTTTGGGATTTCTTTTAGTTTTTATTTTTAACTGTATGTATATGAGCATGTGTGTGTGTGGCTATGTGCACATGGAAGTGCCCAGAGCCAGGAGGTATTGTCCCCTGGTACTAGAGTTACAGAGACTTGTGTGCTGCCTGACTCAGGTGCTAGCAACCAAATTCAGGTCCCTCCCTCTGCAAGAAGTGCAGTGCCTTTAACCACTGAGCCATCATCTCTAGCACCAATCAGCTTAAAGAAAATTTCAATTTGTGTTGATGTTCCTGTGTGCGTCATATGTATACACGTATGCACATGAGGAGCAGCCAGGCTTGAAACTTCCTAGGAAACTGAACTCCTGATCTGTCTCCCAAGCATAGGTGTGCTCCATGCCAGCAAGGGATCATTCCTACCCTAATTTTTCTTTTGGTGGGTGAGAAGGTTGGGTCATCCTCACTTCCTGTTATTTGTTCTGTTTTGCCTGGTATGGGAATTTGGCTTATCCTTCATTTCTTTCAGGTTCAGTAAAAATGGACAGAATTTCCCATAATCCTTTTCAAAATAATTTATGAGTCAGACATATGAGTGATTTAAACTTGTCTTTCCTGATTTTTGTAGTTTCTTTTTCCTAGTGGTTAATAAAACCTGCTAAGCATTTTAAAAATGCCATAAAAAAGTTACAACACAATCTGAAATAAACTGAACAGCAAAGCAAGTAACAATGTAATCCCTGAAACATCAACTAACTGATTCCTATCAGTTTCTTCTTTTGCTTTTTCAGCCTCCTTTTCAAAAAGCAGCCAATCAATTCAATACATCACTTATTGTAAACCAGTTGTAATGTGATATACTTGAAAGATTTGAGTCGAAGTCTGCTTTTTTTTTTTTTTTCCCCAAGACAGTGATTCTCTGTGTAACATCTCTGGCTGTCCTGGAACTCGCTTTGTAGACCCAGCTGGCCTCAAACTCAAAGATCCACCTGCCTCTGCCTCGAAAGTGCTGGGATTACAGGCGTGCACCACCACCATCCGGCTGATACTGGTTTCTACCAGGACACATTCTACCTAAGTGGTGAGTATGTGGGTTCTTTAGTATCATTCACATATATTCTAAATGAGTAGCTCTAACAAAAGTGTAAGTAAGACCATTTTAATCAAACATAATTGTAAATACTAAAGCCAGCTTTGACAAACCTTTTCTGACTAAAAGCTAGTCTGTCAGTCCTCCATCTCAGTAGGGTCTCATATCCATGGATTCAAGCAAGCACAACTAAAATAATTTCACCAAAAAAAAAAAAAAAAAAAAACAAAAAAAAACAAAAAAACAAGAAACAAAAACAAAAACAAAAAGACCCTCACCATGTTACACCTTGCTACACACCAAGTAAGTCCCACATACTCTCTACACAGATACTACTACATGAAGTGCAGTGATGTATCCTTCCCAATCCCAGCTACATGCCTAGCTGTTAAAAACTTGCCAAAGGCCTGAATCTGACTGCAGAAATCCACAGTGAAGGGAGGAACACACTCCAGCAGGTTGGCCTCTGACCACTGAAAGTATGGGATGGCACAGACACACACACACACCCCTCCCCCTCTACCCCCCCCACACCTACAGATGTAATGTTTAAAAATCTGAATGTATTTCTTTTCTAAGGGAAAGCTGAGGAAAGCAATCACCTGAAAATGGCTGGGTTGCAGACATGCTGTGGGTCCAAAGCTTCGCCTTGGATAAACTCGTAGCACAGTCCGTTATTAAAGGTGCAGTAGAGCTGCGGGGCACAGCCGTGCGCCTGCAGCACTCGGAAACTCTTCACTTCTTCCTCTCGGTCCACCAGCAGCTCTGTCTTGTTGCCGTAAATTCTCACCAGAACCACATCCTCCATGCTGTCACCCACATAGCAGGCAATGAGCTTGTTTGTGATCCCGTCTGTGAAGAGCTGCCAGGGAAAGAAAGCAGCAAAGACAGAGGAATGCAATTATATCCATAAGGACGGGCTGGACATAACCCACACGTGAGTAAGGTGGTTAATTGGAAACACCAGAGCTGACCTGGGTATAGCTTAGACCAGGGCAAAGCCAGACCCTGAGCTCAATCTCCAAAACCCAGGGGAGAAAAAAAAAAAAAAGAAAGAAAGAAAAACACCTGGTTTTTAACATCAAAGATCCTCTTGGAGAACATGGGACTACAGCTCATAAGCAGAGAGCTTTCCTTAGCAGTCAAGTCCTTCTCTGATCACCAGCAGACCTGAGACCACCAGTAAGAACCCACTTTGGGGAGACAGACAGGCTTGACATGTGTGAATAACAGTATGACAAAGGAGGGGAGACAACATAGTGCTTGGGCGCTTTAAAACTAATGATAAAAACCAAAAACATGGCTCTACATCAGCAGATGCCTCGGAGGCTGAGCGCATTTAACACACGCACTGGCACACGAGTTCAATCCCAGAAGCTAGTAGAGAAAAGAGCGTACTGAAAGCTGTCCCTAACCTCTGTCACAGGTGACAGCATGTACTGCCTCCATAAAGAACAGCCGGTGTGATGACTCACACTGTAATAACGGTACTCAGGAGGATCCTGAGTTCAAGGCTAGCCAGGGTCAGTGAGCTCCAAGCCAGAGTAAAACTGTCTCACACTGTCCCACTTACTCTATAATCTCCCTGCAAAACACAGTTTGAGAGGAGGGAAGAAAAAATATATATATAGTTACATTAAATGCAAGAAGAATACAATAATAGTTCACTTAAAACACCAAATACCAGGAAAACTAGTAGTTGCTGTGCTAATAAAAACTTGTGTGGTCACCCAAGAGAGAGCACACCCTACTGAAATATAACTAAGACTGGTCATGAAGACCTCAGCTCACCAAGCTTTAGCATCTAGATCTGAAGGTACTAATACCTTTAACTATACATGTAGCAAAAACAGATACAAAAAACACCTTAATAATTGTTGGGAATGAACATGCCACTCTTGTTCCGATTTTCAAAAGGCAGAGAAAATTGCTTTGATGTAGGTCAAGGACACTCACAGGACACACACCACCTCTAACTGGAGGTCCCTTGTCTCCAAAGCCGCATGAGTATACCAAATGACTGGCTGGATTATAAAGAAGGTCTTGGTACAGCCAAAAGCTTAACATTCAAGAGCACTTTCTCTTCTCAAATAGCTAGAAGTGGCATAAACAGCAACAAAATATGCACAAAAAAAAAAAAAACAGCTAAAGTGAATCCTGCTATCTGTAAACACAGTATTTAACTCTTTTTTAGAAGTGACAAGTCCATTAGAAATGAATCAAATGTACATCCAAATTGTGTATGAGGGGCAGACATAAGCTGGGTGGGAATTAGGAAACATGTCACACAAACAGCAGTAAACACGCTGTCAAGCAAGCCGCATGTCTCCTATCATCAGGGGCACACGCCTGAGTGTTAGTCCACCACATTCTAGCATTGGTGTCGCCACGGCAGTCAAGAAGCAAGGAACAATACTTAGTTCAGAAAGAAGGCATTGCAAGCCTCTGCAGGGACTGTCAGCCCCCACACTGAGCGCCTACCTCCCAGCCAAAGCTACAATGGACCTGTACACATCCCTGTCCTCAGCAGAGACCGTCACCTCCCAACCGAAGACAGACTTAGGTTGTACCTGTCCTAGAAGTTGGCAAGGTGGGATGTGACATGCATGCTTAAACAGCACAAAGCATTGTAGAATTGAGTCTGAAATGGTAAAATTGCCACAATCAGGGACAAGTAAGGTAGCATGCCAGGCCCATGGCCAATTCTTAAAGACGAAAAGGGTAGAATAGACTGCATAGGGGCTGCCTTAGCCTATACACAGCAAAGGGTATATAAGTAAAAGAAGTGAAAACAAGTAAGTATTGGAAAAGGACAAGTTATTCCTAGTGAAGGGTATAAATTAGTGGCATCCTATACATCTAACATGAAGATACAGCCTGGATTCAACCCTCCAGACCTATCTCACACACACACACACACACACACACACACACACACACACACACACACACGCACGCGCGCGGTGACCTAGACTTCCAGCTGAGCAAGCTAGGAAAGTAGAGCATGGCAGCTGTGGTGCATACCTCTAACTTTCAGGCTGACAGGAGGGATCCAAGTTCAAGGACAGCCCAGGCTACTGGTGAATGAAAAAAAGACAGAAAGTAAAAGAAAAACCCCGGAAGCTAAAAATAGAAGGGAGGAAGGGAAAAGAATAAAGGTAATAAAGATAATTTCTTCATAAGACTGACAACAGATCTTACCTATGTAACATTGGGAACAACATTTTTAAATACAAAATCTCCCAAGCTGATCCTAACACTCAGTGAGACTTCACAAAGGGAAGACAGCAAACATGTTAGTTGCAAGCAAGGCCTTTAGACATCTACGAGGAACCTGGGACATCCCCCACACTGGAGAGGACGCATCAGAGGAGCAAAGCTTCATCTCTGAGGGACAGACATTCTCCTCTACTTCAACAGTCTGTGGTTCTGAACTCAACCTTGGAAATTATCAATTGGAAGGAGGAGAAAACCATGTCCTTGGTAAAGCTGTCCTATTTATCTAACCCACAGAGTACCAGAACCCATGTAACTCTGATGCTATCTATGTCTCAGATGTCTAGGTCGGCAGCACAAGCCCAGCCATTACCTGGGGAAAAGAACAAGGCAAAGACCGCTGATCCCTGAGGGCTGTCCTGTCAGAGCACTGCCAGCTGCTAACAGGATTTCAAGGTGAGCAGAATCCAGCAGTGACAGGATCAACTCCAGAAGAGCTGGATCACTGCAACTACAAAAATATGCAAAACATCGAGAAAGTGTTTAACTCCCTGGCTATTGGCCATACTACCTAAAAAAGGGAAAAGGCTGACTGGGTATGGACGCCGAAGGCAAAGCAGGAATGGATGTGCATTTGAGCAAACAGATTCTAGAGTTGCCAATCTCAGAAGCATCACAATGGAGAAGAACTGTGCTCGGGTGGCAGCTCCTTGCTTACCAAGACTACAACCTGGGGGGCGGGGGATCAATAAAGACCAGGTAACCAAGGCTAAAGGAACCACCTCTTTTTCTAACTCGGCTGGCACAAGGAAATGACACAAGACTAAGGCCAGCCTAAGCTACACAAGCCTTGACTACATAGTAAGATAAACATAGTAAGATAATCTCATAGATGTACATGTATACAAACACACAGTAACTTACTTTGTGGGCTATTTTGCAGGGCCAAATTCCAGAGCATTTTTCATTGTTCACTGGTCAGTTATGGCTGGACAATGGGGAACCCAAAACTCACTACTGAAGAGTCTTTGACAACTGTGACATGCCAACATGCTGCATTCTCACTCCAGGAACTGTGTGCTAGTAAAATGCATAGAAGTGAACACACTTTGCAGAAGGACCAACCCGTGTTGCTCCTGTGTGCATTCAATATGAGTGAGGTATCTGAGCTGTGCACACAGGTACTGGCCTGGCTTCATAAGAGTCAAAATCTCAATGGTTTACTACGGTCCACATCTTGGCGGAGTAATAGAACTCCACTAATCTTTTAAGTGCCACTGTGAAAACGCTCTGCTCATGGGGGAACACACACAATTAGATGACGTATTATTCTATGTAACATTGGTGAATCTCATCTAATCAGTGAAGGGTCATAAAAAAAAAAATAAACATTACTAAAAGAATTCTGCTTCAAGACTGCACTACCTATCCACACCTGAGTTTCACGCTGCTGGCTTAGGAAATACAGACCTGCCAGTTGTCACATAAGCCACTTCTTTCTCCAGAGAACCCTGACATGTGGTTTATCATCTTTCCATTCCAGTAAGAACTTATCCCTATGGAAATATTCAGGAAATTTATCCACGTCCCAGGAGTATACATACAAGCAATCTGCTAGAACACTGTTTAACTTCCCCCAAAACTAAAACAGCTTCAACAATGCAAAAGGAAAATAAGTAAATGAAAGGACAAGCCATGATCAAACACTTGTAATCCCAGTATGTAGGAGGCTGTGACAACAGGACCTTATGTTCAAGTGCCGTCTAGGCCACCTATGACCTGTCACAAAAAACAAAGTAAATCAGCTACCCACCCCACCCCTATTTTTGAGAAAGGCTCTCTCTACATAGCCCTGCTTGTCCTGGAACTCACTATGTAGATCAGGCTGGCGTCAAACTCACTGCCTCTGCCTCCAGAATGTTGGTATTAAAGACATGCACCACCACATCTGGCAAATTCCATTTTTTTACATGATCAAATGTTTGCAGCGACTATGCATGAGTGACTTCTTACGAAAAGTGACTGAAAAGGGAAGGGAATGGGAAAACGGCTCAGTGGGTAAGGACATTTGCTGCCAAGCAGGAAGACCTGAGTTCAATCCCCAGGGGCCACATGATACCAGGGAAGAGCTGATGCCCCGACCCTGCCCTCACACAATAAATGTAATTGAAAGGGCTTTGTTGTTGTTTTGGTTTGGTTTTTGTTTTTGAAGACAGGGTTCTCTTATGTAACAGCCCTGGCTGTCCTGGAACCACTTTGTAGATAAGGCTGCCTTGGAACTCAAGAGATCCGCTTGCCTCTGCCTCGAGTGATGGAATTAAAGATGTGCACCACCACTACCCAGATTTTTTTTTAAATATGAAATCATATACATGAGTATAGAGTACAACTCCGTAAAATGTTTGAGTAAACCACAGTAATAATAATAATAATAAACATCCAAGAAAGAGTAACCATGTAGGAATACATAAAAGTGCCCCTCCTTCCTTACACTTAGGGTCTAACACTGCTATCAGTGAGATGATGGTGTTCACGCAGTCTCATACAACGACACACATCTGGCTTACTATTTTCTCTACGAACTGAACTTGTGAAAAAGGACTAATCCAAAACAATCCGTGTTCTGGAAGGTAGGAGGGAGGAAGA